CTCCACCCTGCCGGGCGTTGCCAGTTACCACACTTAAATCCGGAAATACAGCAATACAGTTTCGTGTTGTTTTTGGCCAGTGGCCGAACACACATCAAGAGAGTGGGGCATAAAGGGAGGGTTGGAGCGTCGGCCGCGCAAGAAGCATGCCAAGATGCGCCAAGCATGGATCCCCAAACTACACATAATCAACATGATCGACCAACCTCACAGCCTTGGCTGATAGAACAGTTGGTCAAGGGAGAGGCCACGGTGCTTCGGAACAGCAATGGGCCTGCTGGAGATGCAGTCTTGGCGACTGCCATGGTAGATCTGCTCTGCAGCAATCTGCAGCAAACACCGATGAGTCAAGGCCAAAAGCCCTGGGTACACCGATAGCCAGATGCACAAAGGCCAGGGACCGCTTCGAAGTGCGACTGATCGAAAACATGCATCACATAGCGTCGATTTTTCGTCGGGTGCAAAACTTTCAACAATGAAGTGACGGCCAGATCCAAACCCAGAAAGCGCCCACTCTGCACGACGTATGCCTCACATATCCTCACACACTTACGATCGACCCTTCGCTTGCTCGCACGAAAACATGTTGCGACACAAGGCAAGGTGAGAAGTGCCTGGATGTGGTTCGACATGGTTACCAAAATGGTTAAAATGGTGAGATGCAGTCGCTGAGCCGCTTGTTTGAGGCATGTCGGGTGTGTCCAACTCGAATTGCTTACTAATTGCTGGCTTGGAGCCCCCCCCTTGNNGCCCCCCCCCCCCCCCGCCCACCGAAAATGAAAATGCTGCAGTCTGTGGTGCTCATGCTGCAGCTGAAGCCGAGGCTGCTAAGTGTCGAAGCGCAGGGAACGCAGGTCCACCCCCAAGCATGTCAGGCTGTGGAGCCAAGGCTGAAGCAAAGTTGGCAGGTCCTTCAGTGCAGTCCGGAATCATTCTTCTCCTTTTGGCGTGGGCTTCAGAATCGTTCCATCGTTCTAGAGAGCACTTTTTGATTGTTTGGCATTCCAGCTTCAAAATGGCTCTGCTTCTGTCTCAGCTGAGACTGATTGGCCACGGTTTGCAGAAAGGGTCTACTCACAGGTGATCGTGTTCGAGTTCCGTTGATGGTTGTTGGCTGCGCGCAGGATGAGGGCAGGAGGATGCTCCATGCCTGGAGGATTGGATTGTACCTTGGAGCTGCGAAATCAGAGCCGAAGCAAAACGGCGAATCCTGGCACACGCACGGAACGAGACAGGGCACCGCGGTAGGTCAGACCGGTATTCATAACGACAGCGGCAAGCTGGCGGATGACGCAGTAAGTACTAGCATGTTCTAGCAGCACCGAAATGTTCAACAGCATAAGCAAGCCGCAAACTCAGTACTCAGTACTAGCGGCATCCTGCTCCCCCCGCAATGCAATGCCGTCGTGACTGCGACTAGCACGGTGGAAGGCGGTGGACAGGTCCGAGGGATGCTGCGCAGTTCAAGCGTGGCAGTTGGCAGAGCGTGTTCCGTCTGCACGGGGCCACGCCGTTGCGAGGTGGCCGAAATTCATGGGAGTGCGCCAGCAGCGTGGCAAAGCACAAATCGTGGAGTCGGCCGGGCGCCGTGCAGTCCTCCGTTCACTTGAGGAGACTCGCCAGTGGGACAAATGCCATGACTGACGTTCAGCGCGGGCCTAGGAGCATGTTGGGTCCCAAGTTGGCCACTTGAGGGTCGGTGTCCGGATGAGAGGGATCTGGGCGAGGGCGGGTGCTCCGACCGGACCTGTCACGGCCAAAGCCTGCCTCCTCGACTGCTCGATTCAACTCAAAGAGCAGCCTTGGGCTTGGGTCTTGGGTGCACCAGGAGGGAGTCCTGTTTCATCCTGCTTGTTGAGATTTCGCGCCATACGTTTGATGAGCCTGCTAGCTGGAGATGCTGCGCGAGAGAAAAAGCTCCAGCAAGGCCTACCAATTTCTTGATCTGAGCATCTGACCCTCTTGATATAATCAGCTCTGGTGCATTCTCGGCGAGTTGCTAAGCTGCAGTCTCATTCGATCTTCCAACGATATTTCTTGTACAGACGTACAAGTAAGAAAAATAATCACACATGCTTGTGGAGGGAGGGGCTATTATGAGTAGAAGCAGTTGATCCGCTGCTGCCTCTACTTGTTTTGCTCCTGCACGGCTTCCGCAATTGCGCCATGGACAGTCTCCGATCGCATCTCAGCAGTTGAGCGTAGCTTTTCTCTTGCTTTGTGGCTGAGGTGCGAAGGCATGTCAGATTTTGCACGTCTTCGTCTGCAAACTTGGAAAATCAGCGACGGATGCATTTCGGAACACAGGAGCAATGTGCACACAGGCAGATGGTGCTTTGCACAGTCTCATGCAAGGGACAGCAGATGCACGACATGTTGAGGGAGTGTTCAACCGAGATTGAGCAGATTAGTGATCAGCATCATGGTGGCCCTCACAGGCCAGCAGAGCTTCAGTCAGCTTCTCATGCAGTTCCTCCAAATTGGCGCACAGAATGCCAAACACACTCAGCGACTGGTTAGCTCGTCCTGTCTGCTTTCGTACTTCGGCAGGTAGAGCTGGTTGGCACAGGCGCGGCTTCGGGGGAAACGTCCTGCAAATTCAACCAAGCTCCGGCGAATTCAAGCATTGATGGAATGCGGCACGCCTGCTCCTGGGGAGGCCGTCAACTTCAGGCTAGCGAGGCCTTAGCAGTTTTACGTAGACCCGCTGTTCAGGACATTTTATGTGCGGAGCCTCCAGGTGGTAAGCGCGGGCACGAAGTCGCGAAATCGAGGAACCGGGCACGCAACGCCTTCGGACAACATCCGACAGCTTTCAACCCAGGTGCTCAGCCCCTCAACTTTTTGCACGCAAATCGAAATCGGTCCCGTGCGGGTCTAGTTTAGTGCAGTGACCGGAGAGTTGCTGTTCCGTTGGCAAATTGCAGCTCATCGTCGAAAAACGAATCATCCAGTCTGCCAGTGCCATGCTCAACGACAAGCACCAAAGACTTGAAGCAAAATAGCTTTAACTTTTGCTTGAGGTGGCGGCTCGATGCAGGATCTAAAGGTGCAAAGGCTTCATCGATCAATAGAATTGGAGGGCACTCGTCTCTGAGAAAGACTTTCTGGATGAACTCCACCTTGCAACGCTCTCCGCCCGAAAGCTCACTGTACCAGTCCTCCTTGACTTCGTCCAGAGACAACTCCGATGTAGCTTCCAAGCCAATCGGCCGGATCAAACCGAATTCCTTGAGCATTCGCTGTGCTCGCGCTCGAAGAGCTAGCTCAGAGCCAGAACCGCTGTCCCGGCCGTCCTGAAACAAGAGCCAGAACATCGGAGAGACAAACATTGGCCAATAGAACTGCTGCGCAATCTCTACAATGTCACTTGAAGGCAAGTCCATGATCGTGTCAGCCACAAGCTCAGATCCTGATGGACCCCAAGTACCGTCTCGACAGGAAGCCACATATGCCAAGGCAGTGCTCTTGCCGCATCCATTTGCCCCAGTCACTGCCACGATGCGGCCCATGGGCAAAACCAAGCTTGGGATTTGAACATGGGCCTGCCCTCGTGTATACTCGAGTGAAGTTATGTGCACAACTTGGCTGGAGTTGGTCGTTCTGCACTCCGGCCGCTTTTGTGCCTGAAGCGCGGCTTGCTGATCGATCAAGTGGCGCAGAACAGAGATTTTTGTCTGGATGCTTGCCAGAGTTGCTTGCTCACGCTGCCGGGTCAGTACAGTGTCTATCGTATGCTCCAACACAGACGTGTAAAGGTAGATGTCTGTGCTACATATGTAATCCGTCTCCATCAGGAACGCCAGTGTGCATTCGATTCCTGGCCCTAAAAGCAGCTGGCGGTACATCTGGTCGGCCATGCCATGCAGCAGTTGAATCGACTTCAGGCGCATGCCGTGATCCTCAATTTGATCCCCAATGCTTCGCCATTGTCTTTGAGCAAAGCGAGAGGCGCGTGCTCTTTGCATGAGATCTTCGTGTTTCATGTCATGCACCTCCAGGCGGCGCCTCTTATTCGCAAGCTCAAGCAGATGGCGGTGCAGCATTTCCACCTCTGCCGTCAGATAAGCTGTGATCCCCGCTTTGCAAGTGTCCAAGAGTACACTGACGGGCACAACTGATAACATCAGCCAAGGCTTGGCTAGGACAACGCCAGGCAGGAGCATCAATTTGGGGAGCGAGAACAGCTTGGAGGAAATGATCCCGAAACTCATCTCCAGAGCTCCGTTGATGGCATCTGCATATTGCTCCACAGTGAAATTGGAGAGCGCAGCTGCTTTCAGCATGGTGCCCGCATGGCCTTCGTCGGGAAAGAAACTATGGAGTCGTAGCCTACGCTCTGCCCAATGCCGAAAGCGACCGAACTGGTGCGTCTGGACGCTTGTCATGACCAGTTTCAATAGGAGATACGGGAGACACACGAAGAATACCCAATGCTGTGTCCGGGCTGCATACCCTTTAGCTAAAAGTGAGGTTCCTGCTCCCACAGTGAGTAAAGCATTTTGCCTGTCCTGCACTGACCTTAGAAACTGAATGCTTTGATACCCTAAAGAGATCTGAACATTGGCCGTAACGAGGAGCATCTCCACGGCTAGGTTCCCAAAAGCTGTATCTGCAATCCTCGACACTGTGGCATACACCATCATGATTTCGTCAACAGGCAAGCACAGATTGAACAGGCGCGGAAGCATGAAACCAATTGCCAGTCCTACGGTGCCACCGACCACTTTTTCGGACAAGGGCAGCTTCCCAAGAGTAGGTGGGAACTCTACTGAATGGATTGCGCAAAGCGCCGCTAAGATGCTTATGGCGTACATGGATGCCACCCAACACCTGGCTTCAATGATGTAGAAGGTCACTGCCAGGCTGAGACCTGTGAACAACATGGACTGCAATGTAGGAAGCCACTTGACTGCTAATCAGCAGACTGTAACTGGAACTTTGCCCTTGGAGCACGACGTGTTTGTTCAATATTGCCACTGCGCCAACGATCAAGCTGACAAGCGTGCGTTGCCGAAAGCGCTCGCCAGGATGCACCACCATTCTGGAAAACATGACTGGCACTGCCGGACAGAAAATGCTCAAGTCATGTAGAGCGAAGACATAGTTGCCGATGCTATGCAACGAGGTCCCAGGCAATACATTGACATCCGTCCGGGCAGTAAGACAGGCCAACAGCAGAGTCAGTAGTGCACTGGCCAATATTGCTGTGCGATCTAGGCCCATGGGCAGCTATCCTTCATGCTCACGGCCTAGCCTGGTGCTTTGTTCTGAGCACTGTGCTGCAGCTTTCAAGCAGCCCGTCAAAGTCTAAGTCCGCTATGCTGAACGGTTACGAGCCCTCAGAAGCGCAGTGTGGTGAGCCATGAAAGAGACTAAAAGAGAACACACCCCTGTGGTAACGTCAGTCAGGCCTGCGACATTTCCAAGAGCTCGTCGCGAAGCCAAGCCATGACATCATCGTCGCGAGTCAAACCGCCGGCCGGATGCAGGTGGTCGTACAGATCCTGTCGCTCGACGCAAAGACGGCAAACACTGCAAGCACGACCAGCGATCACAACAAGAAGTCCTGGCTGGTCCAGGAAACGGATTCTACACCGCAGAAAAGCTCTCTTAGCCTCCAGCATCGTGACTGCTTCGAAACGAATGGCGATGGACGCCCAAGCGTCGCTAAGCCGCTAAGCATCGGGCTCCAGAGGCGAGAAGAGCCACAGGGCGCCCGTTCTGGGGCCTAAAACATCATGGAGCCCACGGCGCAGTGAACGCACCTGAACGAGTGCCCACAAACGGCTCATTTGCTGAATACCTGCATGCTACCTCTTACAGCACTCCGGGCAGTGAATTGCACCTGCTCTCGAACACCTACATCCAGCCAGAAGGAGGACGCAGCGTCCACAAAGTCATCCAAGCCTTTGCCACGGCATTTCCACAGTAGGCTGTAACTGTATTGACCCTCGCACACAATGGCCGAACTCTGAGTGCCGGGCTCTCCAGGCTCACATGTCTTGCTTTCTCTTCATTTGACTCACTTCGCCTTGCACGGTGACTATTTCAGCATAGCAGTGGGGGCAACCTGCTTTTCACCAAGCTCGGGCCGAAGCGTGGGCAGCGATGGCCCGCTGAAGCCCGTCGCCAGAAACTCGGCGTTGCTTGCCCACTCCTGGGAAGAGAGAGAGAGAGAGAGAGAGAGAGAGAGAAAGAGAGACACGTTTCGTTAGTCTTTTGACCCAAAAAGAGGAAGGCCGGCAAAAGCCATCGGCCTCGAAGGAGCCGAGAGCGTCGTTAGCCTCGAGGTATTGCGCAGCCCAGCCGGGATCCTTCGCCAAGCTCTGCCTCCGCACGGCCCAGAGGCCCCGGCCCCGGCACGGTTAGCTCTCGCGGATGAGCAGTCAAGCTTTTTTACAAAGCGGCGACTCAGACGAGGGAGCTCCGGCTTGGCTGAACATGATGTGGTCGTTCCTCTCGTCCTGACTGACACACCTCCGCTATCCTTCTGCAGGTTGCTGCGCCGGCGGCTGGCTCAGGTTCACTGCCAAGAAGTTAAGCCTCAAGAGTCTGCAGCAACAGAGGGCTCCATGCAGCCAAGAGTGCATTCCTATCCCTGCGCGGCTCCGGCTCAGGATCGTGCAGTGTCCAAAACTGCTCCTTGGATTCCAAGTCTCTCGGTAACAGGCATGCGGCATGCAGAATTTGCGACAGCACTCGAATAGGTTTCAGCCACGTGGCTTCTTGGGAGGCATCCAGTAATGGAGTGACGGCCAGATAACGTTGATGCAGTTGAATGCACAGCCAATATCGACCGTCCGTCACAATGCCGAGCAAGGGGGCGCGGGTGGTGCTTCCACATCGTCCATCACTCTCCACGGCTGGGGCCGCCTGAGACGCCGGCCTGCGCCTGTTCCACAGAGCCAGCAGCTGCAAAATGCACTGTGCTGCTCCCTGTGCCAGCAGCCCGTCTGAGCAGCGTTTTGCCTCCAGAGTGCCCAGCAATTGGCCGTCTCTTCGCAGGACATAGTCGCATATACTCACAGGCACTGGCGAAGCCCGAAAGTACTCCTCCAGAGTGAGTTGAACGCCCAGCTCGGCACACAAGGGAAAAATCAACTTGTCGATCACACAACGTGATGCCGCTTCTTTGGCACCTGGAGCTTAAAGCTTCAAGAGAGTGGTCTCCAAGTCGAACGGCGAATTACTAGGTATTACAGTACTAGTCTGACCGCCTCCCACTAGGTTAGTCACCGGGTGTGCTGGCCTCTGTGGGTACACTCCGCTCAGGGTCAGGTCCGGTCGAGGCGGGAAGATAGCATGTTGTACCAGACTGTCAAACTGTAAGCTGTAAAGACCATGCCGAGACACCCAGGATTGAAAGACCTCCGAGACGGCGGAATGGCGCGCGCCCTCCGTTGACCTTGCCCTCAGGGCAGCCGAGGACACGAAGAACGTTCTCCAGTTCGCCCAAATACTGTTCTTGCCACGATTCTTCCCGGCAGAGTCCAGGTAGTGCTCCCCTAGCAACGGCTGATGGCAGCTCTGTCAGTGACTCTTTCAAGAAGGTCTCCAGGGACTCTAGGCTCCTTCTTTGGGTGCGGATCTTTGAGCACCATGGCAAAACCCAGAATTCCGGAAGATATCCAGAGAGTTGTTCAGCAGTCCACATACTGCTGCTTCTTGAAGAATGGGCGATCGCAGCGGCTCTGCCAGACTTCGCTTCGGAATATTCGCTCCAGAGACTTTCGAGCTTGTCGAACTCCTCGGCAGCTCAGCAGAATCTTCATCAAATCCCCAGCCGAAGAAGGGATTGGAATCCCTGGCACAAGCCCGATCGCCTTTGCCATGCTGAAACCATATTTGGATCACAACACACTAACTGCTGCTCCAAGGACAGTTCCGAACCCTTCAACAGACGGGGCGCCATCTTGCTGACGACCCAGCCGCGCTGGCTGTGATAGTCAAGTAGCTCAAGTTTGGATGAAGCCACATCCCGTGCCGTCTCTGTCTCAGCTCTGAAGACCTGGCTCTCCACCTGGCCAACGCCATCAATGGCCGCGGTCTCAGCCAGTTCACACCGGCCTCGCCTCCCGCTCGTTCTTGGACAGTTTCTGCGTGATCGTCAAGGGAAGGTCCTCAACCAGCACGGCTACGTGGAGCGTGCGCTTGTGACTTCTGCCCTGCATCTGTGTTGGCCAGTGTGCGAGATGGGATGAGAGGGCAATGACAGGCAGGGGCATGGACGAGTGCAAGATGCGGACGGGAAATGGTCTTACGGTTGCTGCCAGATAGAACAGCGTGCCTCGTTGCGATCGAGCTTATCTTCGTTCCACAACCGTGCAGTCGGTATGCTGCTGTCGCGGTGGAGCATTTCTGAAGATGGATATGGTTCGATGAGAAACAGGCAAATGTGCTGCATGGGGAATCCTTCGCAGTCCTTGACTCGGATAACTTCGGCCAGCGCTGCACTCTCGCCCCGCGCGGCTTTGATCTGCGCAGTCAAATTGCTCACCTGCTCCTGGCATCGATTGCAAAAGCAAAAGCTTCTGTTTTGGTCCGTGCCATCCCTGCCTCTGCACTGGGCAGTCGCTGCACAGGCACAGGTGGCAACACCTGCCAAGTCTCATTGAGTTACCACATTCGGCGGGCAACTGAAACCTTTCAAGGCTATTCGACCGTGCACTTTGCTTGCCGTCCGAGGATCTTTGTTCTGGGAAGTCCCATTCAGCCGAGACCACCAAGCTCGCGCGACAGAGAGCCCTTTGTGGCAAGCGGCCCTTGCTGCACAGAGCGGCCCGGGATGGGCAGGCCACATCGTCCGATCGGCACTGAGGGAGCAAAAAGCCAAACAGCCACACGGTCAAAGAAGCAAATCCGTTTGGAGAGGCGTGGGGGGCGGTACCGCGAGACAACCATGAGCCCGCCCAAAATTCAGGGCAAAATCGCATTTGCCAAAACATGCAGCCTGCCTCTGCTCGTAGCTCAGCTCAGCTATGTCTGCACGGAAGCGAGCACCTCAAGACTTCTACACACTTTACTTCGTCCACCTGCTCGAACACACAGCAGACGAATTCTCACCAAGAGCATGTCTCACTGGGGCCACACACAAGCTCCTAGGAACTCTCCCGCAAGTCCATCTCCAGGCTCTGGCAGCTCGCTGCTAACAACCTCTTGGGACCGGTCTCTGACACTGCAGGGAGCAACGACTAAGCGGCCCTCCTTTTCCCCGCGGAGCTGCCGCAGGACCGTGGCCTCGCGAGGGCAGGGGTTTCTCAGAGCCAAGACAAGAGAGTCGCTTCCGCTCGAAGCTGCGCTTGTTCCGCTCGCTGTGTAATTAAGCGGCGTGCCGCGAGTGGAAGCGGAACGACGAAGGATTCCCGTAGCGCCAAGGCCAGCAGGCGACCTTCCGCGTGGGGCACTTCGCGTAGGAAGGAAAGCGTGGTCGCGGCTGTTGCGGCCTAGGGAGCGGAAACGGGCCAAAACGGCCGGGAGGCGTGGATCCTCCGCTCGAAGCGGCTGCACCTGTCTCAAGTTCAGCTCTCTTCCCTTTCTTTATCCCGAACATGTCATTACCAGACTTGAGATTCATCATCATTCATCGCACTCATCAACCGAATATGCTAAGGGCAGTCTTTGTTTGGAGTCTGCAACCATATGCCATATGCCCGATATTCCCACGATCCCATGTGAGCCCTGGTTTTATTTTATTCCTGCTCGTGCGGGATGCAATAATCCGCGGTTCGCTCCGCGGGGCTTTCAGCAGGTAGGGGCAAACTTCCCGGACAGCACTGCACCCACTCGTGGCGGTCTGAAACTAAACGGCCTTCAAGATGGGGAAATCAAAGGGTTTCAGGTGCTACTTTAAGGGTAAGGGAATTCCGGTGGCTTTGAACCAAAATCTGGTTCCAGCCGTCGGGTGTAGGGACTTTCGGCGGGTTTCCAATCCAAACTTGCACAAGTGCCACTTATGAAGAACTGCTTGCCGACCATCCTGAAAATTATGGATACAAAGCCATGGCCTTGCCCATTATATGCAACGAAACCACATATTCAGCACAAATGTACAGGTCTACGGCTACGGTCGCACACACGAATGTAAGCATACATTTCTTGCTAATGGGGACTTCGGCTGATTGTTCCTCTGGGCTTCTACTCTAGTTCCCCAATCCATGTGCAGCATCTCTGCTCATTTGACCGCATCCAACATCTGGGAGGACCCGTAATCTTCTCGAGCTTACCGTTAGGGTTCGCCATCGTGCCTGTCAGATTGGGGCAAGTCGTGCTACTGCTGGCGGTTCCGGGCTACTTACACACGGTCATTTTTTGGGCTTGCGTCTTAGGGCTTTAGGGTGGTGCCGGGCCACTGCTGGATATCTACGCATATAGCTTGTCTTTGACCTTCCGTGGACCAACCGCTTCCGCAGAGCTTCCGTGCACAAAGTCCCGTGCAAGTTTTGTCAAGTCGACCGAAACGATTCATGTCGCACGGCCTAGTACTGATGAAAGAAGCACTGGGCAAAACCACAGCTCATGTGACGTGTCGTTGGTTTATTAGTTAGCTGACTGACTGTTTGACTGATTGATTATTTAGTGATTGATAATTGAATGATTGGCTGCTGACGGATCATTGATTGATTGATTGATTGGTTGAACCATTGCGTGATTGACTGACTGAATGAGTGACTGGATGAATAAATATATGAAGGAAGGAAGGAAGGAAGGAACGAAGGAAGGAAGGAAGGAAGGAAGGAAGGAACGAAGGAAGGAAGGAAGGAAGCAAGGACCGAAGTAAGGAAGGAACGAACGAACGAAGGGGTGAATGAATGGTTGAATGAGTTTGACTGTCTGGTTGAACGAATGGAAGGTTGAATGAATGAATGAATTAAGGAAGGAAGGAAGGAAGGAATGAACTAACGAGTGAATGGCATGCACGGATGCATTCATGGATGGATGGATGGTTGGCTGACTGGTTGAATGAACGAACGGTTCAATTAATGGTTGACTGACTGGCTGAATGAATGCATGCCTTCATGGATGGATGGATGGATGGATGGATGGATGGATGGATGGATGGATGGATGGATGGACGGATGGATGATTGACTGACTGCGTGAATGAATGAACTGTTAAATAAATGGTTGGGTGATTGGTTGAACGAATGCATGCATGCATGCATGCATGCATACATGGACGGACGGTTGACTGTCTCACTGACTGACTGAATGAATGAACAAATGAATGGACGAACGGATGAATGCAACAATCATTGAAGGAAGGAAGGAATCGATGCAATAATTAATGATGAATGAACGAAGGAATGAAGGAATGGATGGATGGATGCATGAATCAATCAATGAATCAATGAATCAAGGAAGGGAGCAAATAATTCAACAATGGATGGACGAATGCCTTCGTGCGTGAACGAACGAATGAATGACGGAGTGAATTGCTGACTGACTAAATGGATGAATGCATCATTCACTCAGATGATTCCATCGTTATCATTGGCTCATAGAATGATAGAGGGAGTGAACATGCAGCATGAATGATTAAATATGATGTCGCCTGTGCATGCCGGCTGTCGGCGGGTTTCTGATTCTCCCACGTCCTGTTCCTCCGTACCTAGCAGTTACCACCTCCTCCAGAGTCTGAGCTGGAAAAGCTCAGCCTGTCATTTAACCAAACGTTCGCCCCTGGCGCTTGCCCTTGCCACCCGCCGTTCCAACAACCGCTGCACGGGCGCTTCGAGACCTACGAATACATGAAACTTAAGGCAGGGGGCCATGAGGCCACGTCGACTCCGCAAGAACTCGCCCTCGGATTCCAAGCATTCGGCCTTGGCCGGGACGGTGGCTGGAGGAGGTATGCAGCTGTGACAAGTGCGACCTAGAGTGCCTGGCCCACATAGGCACGTTGCTGTTGTGAGAGGTTCTCTGCAGCTCTTTGGCAACATCACTAAAGAATCCTGCACCGGTGTCGCGATGTCTGTGCTGACTACGATGCAGAACTGCGCCGGTGCCTTGGGTGACGCCTCGACCGAATCCTGTTTCGTCCTGACGTATCTGCGTCCCAATACTTCGCAGATCGTCAAGCCAGCCCTTGCAACTCAGCACCTTGAATTGGACCTCAACCACGCCCGAAGATGTCTCGGCGGCCGCACGGCATGTGGTTCTCTGCTACGCATGGACACAAGTGTACATGCATGATTCAACTGCAAAGCCCTGCACCAAGCAGCACTCTGCCAAAGCTGTGGCTTGATCCCAAATCCTCTCCCTGCCACGGGGTCACTTCTTCGAGTACAGCAACTCCAGCTCTCGGCGGCTTTAGACCACCACATACCTCGCATTGCCTCGCATGATCCAGGCCTGTCCACCTTGGCCAATTCGGATGTCAAAGATCCGATCCATACCTGCAAGGCTCAGCTGCGAAAGATGGTGGTATCTCCAGACATTCGTGTTGTCTCATCGCACCTCGGGGTCCTGTGAGATCTGTTTTGTTAACTCAAAGAGGTGCTCATAGGCTTGTGACCTTGCTGGCAGTCGGGCAAAAGCTGCTCGGCACGACGAGCTGTGAGATGCTGTGAGCCAGACAGTGCTCGTTGATCTCCGAGGTTCTTGGCTTGCGCTACCCGCCCCTCTGCAGCCTTCATGACCTCCGGAAGCTCTCATTCTGAAGCGCAGCTGGTATCCGCTGGCTTCTGCCGGCCTCGCTGTACCTGCGGTCTACCTGTTGGAGCTTCACAGGTCCGACACCGAAGAGACATGCAGATACAGTAGAGCGCTCTGCAGCACCTCGCGCGTCTGGCGATCATGAACCGCAAAAGGTAAGCCGAAAGCTAATGACCTGTCCCAGAACTTCGAAGATTGTGTGTGGTGTCGAGAACTTCGAGTGCAGCACCGGATAAGGTAGTACGTGCACACATTACAATCGCCTGTCTAGCCCCTTCTACGTGGTTAAAGCTAAGACTGACACTTCCCACCAGGGCTGCAGGGCCTTGATGCAGTGCGAAGGGCGACTCGACATTCCGGACAAATCTTCGAGTGATAGATAGTGATAGTCTCTTTGATTTTGACTCTGAGAGGTGTCACTGACAAGACGGGATATCGGACACTGCGAGATGCGAGTCACTGTTGCCTGTTGTCATTTCATCGCTTGCAACTCCTCACCGGCCCTGCAAACGCCGCCACAACGCATCACAACGCAACACCATGACAGATAAGTTCTGGGCCAAAAAAAGTGCTATGATGAGGGGTTAAGCTGGATGCTTTTCCTTCTTGTGATGTCTTTCCAGCGAGTCGCAGGTAGGAGGCCCTGGCTGTGATGTGAAGGGGAGTGGAGGGGAAGAGGAGGACATTGCGGCTCCCACGTACTTGGGCCAAGGGTCCAAAAAGCCACGACGAGTCTGGAGGACTCTACCATAAAAATGCAGACGTATGCAGTCCAAATCCCCGCCAAGCTGTGGAAATTAACGGATCAAGAAACAGGCAGCCAGACGGAAGGGCTGGTACAGTAGGGACGGGAGGAACGACTCAGGCACCACCAGGTTGGTTATGAAAAATCCATCTGTCATGATACTGTTAATGCTTTCGACTCGGCTGTCTGAACTTGGCGAGCTTATGAATGTAGCACAGGCTTGAGGTGCCAGGTCAACGAGAGCCTCAGCAGTACTTCGCGGCAGCGGCGATCGAACAGCTGCGGCCTGGGTCTCAGTCCCAGTTTGCGTCCGACGTGTCCACTGCTACAGTTCCACACATCAAAAGAAAGACGAGGCTCATCAGGGTGCCAAGTCGAAGTACCCACGAAGGCATGCTATCGCTGACCAGAGCAACCTGGACAGTCGTCAGCGTGTAGCAAAGAGACCCCTGGCACTTGCGAGGAATGCGTCTACTCACTGCATCTCACTGCTCTCATGGGCCCAGAATTTCGAAGGGGTCCTCCTCTCCTCAAGTGTGGAGAGGACCCCTTTGCCTTTATCTCTGTGCTCTCTCTCTCTCGCTCTCTCTCTCTCTCTCTCTCTCTCTCACTCACTCATACATACTCGGCATCCATCGCGAAAAAAGCGCAAGAAGGTCTCCGCAGAAAGCTGGGCCCGGACCCCAGAGGCGGAGAGAGCCGCCGCTTAAAACTCACGTGCGCTGCTGCGGGCTCGGGGCCCGGAGGGAAGCCAACTCTCGCTTCCACGCTCGTGTCCAAACATGCTTCAACCGCTTGTAAAGCGGGACCCCCCAAAGCAGCAAATCACAAAGTTGTGTGTGTGTGTGTGAGAGAGAACAGCTCCAAGCTGGACACAAGAGTGCCCCCCTTCGGATGTCCCATGCTACAGCTGCTACAGCTGCTACATCTTCAGCACCGTACTTCTCGGTCAAGATGTACGAATATGCGCGGATCTCTTCTTTGTATCATTCCCACAGGCTTCGTCCCGTCGTCCGGTCTTTCGCGGCACACCTCTGCGACCGACTCAAACAGACCCCCAAATTGTGCCACCGTCTCACTGGAACTCACGGTCTGCTAACTTAGAGAGCCTTTTGGTTCATTGGTAACAACTCAAGCCGAAGCAAAGCATTGCACCCTCAGTCGTGCTTCACTCTGTAAGCACGCATGTCTTCTAGATGGTGGCTAGTGGCTTGCCCGAGACACCCCTTTCCTTGCATGGCATTCTCAGTCTCCAGGGTGGGCACCGACGATTGCCCGCGTGAGGCAGCCTTTGAAACCTTCCCGGCTGCCGGGGTCACACCGCCTCATCATTATCATCATCATCACCATCATCGAAATCATCATAAAGCAAGCCTCTCCGCATCACCAATAACAGCTCAGGAAATTGGCCCGGCACCGGCAACATGGCTCGTTACAGGCAGCATGGCTCATGTGCGCAAAAAGTGGCTCTTGGGATCTCTCTCTTTCTTTGCGTCTTCCACCGGACTTTTAAAAGGAACAGACAGCTGGCCCCACCCCACCCCCTCCACACGACCATGTCAAATCTCGATTTGGTCGACATGAGACAAGAGATTCAACTGCTGCCTTCATCTGAAACATCCTGTTATGATGTATGCTTTGAGAAAGATATTGGGAATGGTGGACTCCCTGCGGACAGACAGACGCGAAAATCAGAGAATCGAACGCAGAGAGGCCCCCCGGTGCAACCGTCTGAGTGCCCTTCGTTGAAGAGTCCAGGTCTCCCTGCACCCCCAATGAACTGGGCAACCCCTCCACCTTATGATCCCTCACGCATGAGCCCGTCCGTCCTCGAGGTGAGACTCCGGAGGCAGTATTCTCCGGCGATCACAAGCTAAACGATCTTGTAAACAGCTGCTAAGAACTCAGGCGCTGGCCTGGAGAAGGGGGCACTCGACACAAGAGGTACAGGAACATTCTCTGGCTCTGTCAACTTCTTCTCTCCCCGAGTTCATTTCAGGGAACTCACTGCCTGGATCTGCCTGCCCCGAGCCTGACTCCCTCTTGCTGTCTTTCTCTTCGTTCTTTCAGTGGGCATGATCTCTCTTCTTGTTCTTCTTCAGAGCTCGCTTCCTTCCTCTTGCTCACACTCACTGACTCAAGCAGATATAAGATGATATAAGCCACCGCCACAAGGCTATGCAGCCAGGCCCGGCCTGGTGGGAGCAAAGGTCTTGCAGCTTGGCAGACAAGCGTGTCGACTGAACGTCTGCATCTGCTTGCCAAAGCCTGCTTTGGCAACTGGACTCACTTTAAGAGTACATGCCCTTCTGAAGAGAAGAGACAACATGTCGGTCTTGTCCAACAAAAGCACGGTTACGCAACACCCGTGGAAACAGGAAACGCAGGCTGCACTAATTCATGGAGCAACAGTTGCAATAGTCTGAGCACAAAAACATGATGCGAGTGATTTCATGCTTGGCGCCTTTATGGCTACTTGTTTCGCACCTTAATTGTACAAGTACCTTCCGGGCAATGCTCAGACACGATCGTCGGACGTCGACACCTTCATTCAAACCGGCCTGCTTCCCCAAGGCAGGAGAGGCTTCCACACATCAATGCGCCGTTTTGTGCGACCAGAAATGGAATGGCATGATGTGTAAACAACAAAAGAAATGCACGAAAGTGAGGTTTCATAGGCACCGCTAAACTTAGGACTCATTGTCGAAAGTCTAGACAGCAAGTTGCCCCTGGAAGCGTCTCAGCATGCAGAAGCAATCCATGAGCTCATCTTCCCAAACAGACTGATTAGCAAAATCAAGAGGCGATGATATTGTGCCCTCAGTAGCACAGCTCTTCAAGAACACAGATGACAGAGACTTGAACCCATCCCAGCAATACATCTCAAGTGTGACGGATCACCAACGCAGACATATGTTTGACATAAACGCGCGAGAAACTCGCTTGGCAATACGGACCCGTCCATCCTACATCCATCATCTCCACTCATCACAACTACAGCTGCCCGACCCCGTGACTCAAGCAGCTTCATGTCGTTCCAGAGTTGTGAGTTCCCCGACCACGCCTTTTCACCTGCATGATCCGGCTGTACTTGAAGCAGGTGCATTGTGTCGGAAAGCAACGGGGTCAGTATGTCGAGTGCACTTCGAAATGTGTTTTAATGTCAGTATGTGTTCTCATGCTGAGGCTCTGAGCAATAATCCCATGCGAAAGGTGGCACATTCCCTGCATCATCCCATAGTTGTTACTGGCGTTACTATAATATCCGTATCACACTTCTCACTTGTCTCGTATACCACCTCCCGTATGTTGGAAGGGGAGTCAAGCTAGGAATGCTGAGCCAGACAAAAAGACCGTCCATCACGCGTCCATACTTATGTAAAGCCCTGATTAAACCTTGAAGCCCCAAGCCCTAAAGCCCTATACAGAAGCCCGAAGCCCTGAGCCCTAAACCCTAAAGCCCTAAGCCCTAAACCTTGAGCCCTAAAGCCCTGAGCCCGAAACCTCAAGCCCCAAGCTCTAAGCCCTGCCTTAAACCTAAAGCTCTGGTCCTTTCGGTTTGATTGATACTGCTCCAACATTGGCCCTTTCAAAACGAATACGATCCTAGGCCCTCCCTAACGTCTTGAATTAACTTGCAATTGCGCGCCCGAAACCGCGAAATCCCAGATCGCTCGGGGCGGGTGACCGGGCGGGAGGGACGGAGCGGGTGAGGGGCCTGTTCGCGGAAAACACTTTGGGGGTTTTTCCAGGCCCACTCTGTGCCAGCAGAATTTCTGGATGTAGGGCCAACCCGAAATCCAATTTTGAAGGGGGGTCAGCGGTGACACAGGGAATCTTTGTGCGAACCTCCGACCGCTTCGGCCGGGGCCGAGCCGAATTAAGGTGGGGAGGAGGTTGCAACAATCACAAGACATATTGGCCGCCGAAGCCGGCAAATAAACAGTGGGAGATAGCTCGTTGCGTCCCGTTCTTGCCTCGCAGCATGCATGTAAACATATCTGGCACGCGTCCGCAAAAACCATCTCTCCGTCCCATACCACTGCACCCGCACACACTCTAACAAACCATTTCCGGATTCCTGCGTGGACCTCCCGTTCTGCAAGGACGTGACATTGTGACATGACCGGCACATGCCGGTGGGACAGCCGCAAAGCAGCCCCAGCAGCTGTCTCTGCTGAGAGGCCCAGCGTGTCTAGCCTGGAGTGGCCGAGGCGAGCATTGAGCACTCCTCGAAGGTTTTCTGGGCTGCTGGCGTCTCCTCCCATGCCTCGCTGGCACGTGGCTGTCCGTCCTGACAATTTGAACATATTCTACTGAGCTCCCTAGCCTAACTCCCCAGATTCCTGATCGAGAACGAAGTCAAAAAGCTCGTCCGATGCATCCTGTCAGTCGTCGGGCATGAGGCTGTGAATCTTTGGAGGGTTTGGATCCAAGATGAGGACAACTACACAATCGCCAGCATGCGTCAGGTGCAATTCGTATGTTCCGGACCTCCACAGCTGGTGATGCGTGGTCTTCACCTCTCGCGCACTCTGTCGAAGGTACAAGAGCAGCTCGATGCCAAACACAAGGCACGCGGAAACTTAGGCCGTGTCGACGCTTTGTTTGTGCTGCGTACAAGTCTTCCAAAGTGGGCCTTTATTGAATGAAAAATGACAGCCGAGCGAAAACGAGGGGTTCAAGCACGTTAGTCTCCAAGCTGTCTGCAGAACAACTGAGCAGGACAGTCGCAGCGTCGTCAGCAGATCCACCTGGAATGCAGCTTGGTCGGCATTGTGGTACACTGGTACACCACAGAAACAGAAGCCACCTTCTGGCGCTCTGCCAGATGCTGCAAGCCCTTTGCGAGAGCCTCAAAGCTCGGAGCATTAAATCCCTCCTCTGAGTCTGAGTAGACAGTTTCGATTCCCTCCGGAATGTCTTAACTGTACTATAGTCAGGGCCTTGTTGCATCGAATGCTTTAGCAATTCCCAATGCGCAATGCGCACCTTGGGCGCTCCTTGCTGAACTCTTCGTTTGCCTAATCTCTTTTTTTTCCTGGCCTGGGCCGAACTTAGTCATCTGGCGGTGATGTGCGGCAGTGCGGCTCGTCTACCATCGAGGAAGCTACTACTACAGTTGATCTGATCCTATAAATCAGAAGAGGCTGCGACCCATTCCGGTGGGAAGCGCACTGGAGCACACAGAGATTGCGGGCTCCGCACCTTGCGTGAGGCTGGAGCCCAAGCTTTACCATTGTTGCATCTGGGCATGGCTGGGCTCAATGCACAAGCAGACAATGCGGTAAACGACTCATCCGGCGGACCATGGAGCCATTCCTGCTTCGAAGCCGGCATTTACCGCACAAGAAAGTCGGTAGGCTGCAGTAGCACAGTCCTCCGGACGGATCTTGAAAGTTGCTGTCATCTGCCCAGACACTGCAGGATAGATGGAGGCCTTGCGCACAGCAGTGTAGCGAACCTTGTCTCATGTTGCTTTGTTACTTGACCGTGGCCGGGGTCCCGGCGCACTGCACACCCGTGAAGGTAGCAGGCGTCACCCAGACGCCGTCTGTGCTGAACTGCAAGATCCCGGCAGGCACGTCGGCTGCGCAGCCCACGACCACCTGCTGCCACAGAGCTTTCTGCACGGCCGTCTCTTTGCAAGTCGCAGGCTATTTGGGCCTCTTTCGCCCAGGAAGAAGGATAGCTTCCGGCCTGCTATGTGTCGTCGGCTACCACTGACGACAGCCGAGATGTTGGGTACCTAGGGCGCACCTCGCCGCCGTGCCAAATCTTTTGTCTCGCGCCTGACAGGCAGCCGGTCTGTCTCAGAGTCGCGAATCGAATCTCAGCGACTTCTCTCAGCAGCTTGCCATCCACTCCCCAACTTTCGAGGTCATCACCTCACCAGGCTACACAGTGGAGCGAAAGATACCGAAAGCGTGCAGAGCGAAGAGCGAAGGACGAGGTCGCTGCCAACCCCGTAAAGCCAGGTATCTCCGAAGAAGCGAAACTTCTCAGAGGCCCAGCCTCGAACAAAAAACGAGAGTCGATTAAACAAGAAAGGACAGATGTGGGGCCTATCTGCGGGGTGTCATGCGACTCGATGTGCAGCTCATAGTACACCTCTCCAACACACTCCAACAAGTATGCCTTGCATAACTGCCTGCAGTGCTGGCGACTGCAGTGTCACATTGCAGAAATGTCATGGCCTTTCCACTGCTGTTGAGCTCTGGAAGGCCGACCGTCGTCCATGAAGCCGAGACCCACGAACACCCGTCGACTCGAACCTCTTTCCCTCGCAGCAGACCTGTCAGTCTTGCACTTTAGGCATGCGACTTGGCTGCCATGCCGTGCAGGCACTAATCGCGCCAGCTGTGCTGACTGAAGGTGGGCTCGTGCTGCTCGAGCTCCCACCGAGTTCGTACGCCTGGCATCGTCACGCGACATCCAGCGACTCCGTGGCTCGGAATGGAGAACTTGCCAGGCGGGCCAAGGTTGGCTTCGGCAGCCAGGCGCCCCGCGTCAGGGGAGGAGCTACAGCAGGCGCCGCTGGCTCCTCCGTCCGGGTGCCCTCTTGGCATTCGGCGTCCACATCTGGGGCGGAGATATGCAAAGTCTTGCACACCAGCTTGAAGCAGGATGACATGAGCTTCCTTGCCGCCTGAGCTTCAGGCTAAATCGACGTGTGATCCTCGACGACTCTGCTCCACGCCTCGACGAAACGCATAAACGGATGATACGCTTCTCGAACAACAGCAAATCCCCCAGCTAAGCCACAGGCTCAAGCGCCTGGAGATCCTGTGCGGAGTGGACACATTCGCTCATCACGGCTTCACGACGCATCACGACGCAAGACAAAGAAGAAGTACGAATAGCTAAATTCTGAGCCAGCTGTTTTGCACTCCGACTCCGACTGCTTGCTTGATCTTGCTTGGCTCTGGACCGCGCGAGTCTGCACTTGCGGCTCCACAGGCGGGACGGGGTAAAGTCGCGGCCTGAACTCTTTGAGGTTCTGGGCGACTGCACTGCAAAGAACTGGATCTGAGGATGCAGCCCCTCGAATCCAGGCATGTTACGATGCTTTCCCGTGGCCTTGACAATGCATGTGAGTCTGCAAAACTTGCTGTTACAGCTTGATGTTCACGATAGACAGTCTGCACCAAGTCTTTGACCAATGCCCCCGTGGCAAGGGAAACATACAGAGTCTGAGGAGCTTCTTGGACGACAACTGCCGGCATCCATGCCTTTCTCAGCACATGCCAATGGGGAAGGAGCATCCAAGCAATAAATACTGCTAGACTCACATGTGCTGAGTTGACGGCATCTTGTATCTTTATCTCCACGAGGTCTCGAAGTGCACTCTTTGGATTGCCCTGCGCTTTGCAAGATGGTCCACAAGAATGGAGCAGCAGCATGACGTCTGCCGGCGAACAGTCTGAATCTCACCCTGCGATCACCGCAGCACTTCTTTAATTTCACGCAGTTTCGGCTGGGTGCCTTTCCGCGGCTGGCTGAGCCTGCCAAATTATGTCGCGATAAACCTTATGCTAGCCGAGCGCAATGTAGCCTGCCTTGAACTTGCGCAGCTTCGGGTTCGGCCACTACCTGGACCATGCACACATATGCAGAAATTGCATTTTGCAGGTGCAAGCTTATCAAAGGCAGGCACACGGCAGGCGACGGCGGCCATGAGCCGATCTGCAATGCGGGAGGCCGAGCCTCCGTTTACAAAGCTTGCGTTGGGCCTTGTCATGCTTTGCCTGTCTCAACCGGGCCCAACGGCTCTACGAAGCACCTTCCGTTGACCCATCTCGTTACAGTCAGCAGGCCAGCTGGCAAAAGTCAAAATGACGGAGGATTGCCAAAGGATCTGACTGTGGGTCAGCCCTCGAGCAACTGCGGCTTCGCCATTTGATGCCACCGCCTGGCCCAAGACACACTCCCAAAGACCTCTAGTAACTCTTTGATCCGGTACCTTTTTTTCCGAGCGGATCGCTTCGATGATCTTTATTCTATGTTGTCCGGGCTGCAAGGCCAGGAGGTTGCCTTTCGTCATGTCTGTCATTGCTAAGATTTGCCCCAAGCCGGACAGGCACGTTATGGCACGTTGGTAGTCCTCCTGAGCCCCTCCTTAACACGACCCCATGCTCTGGCACCCCGGGGGTCTTACGGACCCATGCAACCGGGACCAATAAGCAAGTCCTGTAGGCACAAGCAGTTTTGTCGTATTGGCTGAAGGAAACCAAATCCTCAGAGCCTAGGACAGGCTTCCCTAAAATGCCTTCCAT